AAAAAGGTCACAGATCACAAACATCATCACCATCTTAAAGAAAGAGGAATATTATGCAAGAAGAAAAACGGCAAAAACACAAAAATCACAACCTACTGAGAAATAATAAAACCGTACCATAGAAACTCTACGGTACGTATGACTTAAATAGCACAAGTGAACATAAGCATGAATTAAACAATACACACAAAAATCATCTTCCATGTAAACATTAAATGGAGGGTAATTAGGCCTTATTTATTAGACAACGGCAAGATGACTGGAAGGTTGGAAGGTGTTTCTGTTGATTGGTCACCATATAATATGAAACATGATACAAAAGATGCAACAGGTTAAGTGTAATATTTACAACTAATAGTGTCATCTACACTGAACCCCCTCTGCCTCCTCTTTCCCTTGCTATACACACAAACCATGACACATGAGCTACAACAAACAGTTCCATGTAGCTAGTGTGCCCCTCCCCTACACACACACTCACAACCCTCTCCCCCTGCACACACACACCCGACCCCTACACACACACACACACCCTCCCCCCTACACTCACACAGAGTTATTTTGAACAACTCACCCCAACCCCCATTGCACACATGCATCAGGTGATGTTCCAGTTCACAAATGCATGGACTCGCACACATGGACTCACATACACACACTACAAATATACAGACACGTGTGATATACTTCTGTTACTGTTCCACAAAGCTGGTACAGTGTAGTGCCAGAGCACACAAGTGTATGTCCACTCACCAAATCATTGCTGACCCATTCCTCACAAAGTCAGTGTGATATAACCCTCTGACCCACTCCTCACAAAGTCAGTGTGATATAATCCTCTGACCCACTCCTCACAAAGTCAGTGTGATATAACCCTCAGATCCACTCCTCACAAAGTCAGTATGATATAACCCTCTGACCCACTCCTCACAAAGTCAGTGTGATATAACCCTCTGACCCACTCCTCACAAAGTCAGTGTCATATAACCCTCAGACCCACTCCTCACAAAGTCAGTGTGATATAACGCTCAGATCCACTCCTCACAAAGTCAGCATGATATAACCCTCAGACCCACTCCTCACAAAGTCAGTATGATATAACCCTCAGACTCACTCCTCACAAAGTCAGTATGAGAAAAAACCCGGACCAACTCCTCACAAAGTCAGTATGATATAACCCTCTGACCCACTCCTCACAAAGTCAGTGTGATATAACCCTCTGACCCACTCCTCACAAAGTCAGTGTGATATAACCCTCTGACCCACTCCTCACAAAGTCAGTTTGAGAAAAAACCCGGACCCACTCCTCACAAAGTCAGTATGATATAACCCTCTGACCCACTCCTCACAGAGTCAGTGTGAAATAGCCCTCTGACCCACTCCTCATTAAGTCAGTATGATATAACCCTCAGACCCACTCCTCACAAAGTCAGTAATATATAACCCTTAGACTCACTCCTCACAGTCAGTGTGATATAACCCTCATACCCACTCCTCATAAAGTCAGTATGATATAACCCTCAGACCCACTCCTCATAAAGTCAGTATGATATAACCCTCAGACCCACTCCTCATAAAGTCTGTGTTAGATAACCCCTCAGACCCACTCCTCACAAAGTCAGTATGATTTAACCATCTGACTCACTCCTCACAAAGTCAGTATGATATAACCCTCAGACCTACTCCTCACAAAGTCAGTATGATATAACCCTCAGACCCACTCCTCACAAAGTCAGTAATATATAACCCTTAGACTCACTCCTCACAGTCAGTGTGATATAACCCTCATACCCACTCCTCATAAAGTCAGTATGATATAACCCTCAGACCCACTCCTCCCAAAGTCAGTAATATATAACCCTCAGACTCACTCCTCACAGTCAGTGTGATATAACCCTCATACCCACTCCTCATAAAGTCTGTGTTAGATAACCCTCTGACCCACTCCTCACAAAGTCAGTATGATATAACCCTCAGACCCACTCCTCACAAAACAGTGTGACCTTGCTCACAAACTCATTCCACAAAACCTAGCAGGCAGATCATGACTTTGCATATTTCTATAAACCTCACAAACATTACACACAAGTACATAGAATGTGTCTTGTTGGGAAAAAGGCACTTCATTATAAACATTGTAAAACAAGATTGAACTTCTGGATTACATTACATACATGTGATACTCTCAATCCAGGCTAAATCTCTTGATCACAAGGACAGACACCGCTTACTACAGGACCTGTTCTGTTTAAATATAATAAGCAATGTCTGCTCTTGACTGTCTTATGACTCTACTAGAAGTCATAAGATACAGGCATAGATCTGATAAAGGATTGACACGATTCCTGTAAGACTACCTGTTTCATCATTAGTCACCTACAATAGTGAAACAAATTTATGTGAACAACCTTACTGGGGACTGTGCCCCTTTCGCGTATCCAGTTCAACCGGTTTGTCTGTTTTTAAATGTAACATTTTCGGGTATAAATTCTTGCAGACCGGAAAATGTTTATGCAGGCCTTGCAAGGCTCGCATGAAAGTAGCATCAGATTACTAGGTCTGACCATATTTCATAAAGAAACAACTCTGGTCAAACCGTTTGGATCGCGATAAACGAATGCAGCCCAAGTGCTGATCTTACCAAAATCAACCTTTACAAAGAACTATAATAGTATTCAGTTTCTCAGATCCTCTGGTGTTCATCATTAAATGTGTTTTACTGTTTAACATCTATTCCTTTCGATACATCATAACACAGGTCTGTGGTTACTGAGTAAATAAAACATCAGGAGGTTACAACTGTTTAGTCGCCATGCCTTTTAGTAAGTTACCACTCTAGTACAAAATGCCCTCTATGTAAAGCTTCAAGGTCAAAGTTCGGACTGACTATGTCATATCTCAAACATCTGTTGCACCGGTACTCAAAGTGGAATTCCTATGATCATTTGGCTAGCTAGGAAGAATTATACCTGATACAAACAAATCTCACTGACAAAACTCTGGAGACATAATGTCATTATTACAAAGTGCATCTACATTTCTCTATCATTTTAAATCATTAAATATATTAAACATATTAATGTTGAACAAAACAGTATTAATTAGACATTTCAATTCAACCTCATGAAATCTCTCATTGTGACAAAACAAAATCACTTGTTTGTTATCAGTTCTGTTAATTACCAGCTATTCATATAAACTATATACATCACTTATTGTAATAGTGAATGAAGGTCATTGTATATAGTGGGACTGAAGGCGATGTCAGTCAGTCATTAGCTAGTGTGAAATTCAAAATAAATAACTTTACTTATCACAAAATCACTTATGTACAACTTACATCAATTAAAACTTTAGTGTTAGCATTGACAACAGTAATGGTTTTAGAAAGCAGTGTTAAAGCTTAACTCTGGGTAGGCTCAGGCCATGTGTTCTAGTTCACAAAGCTTCTCATACCAGTAAGGACCTAAACTTCAACCTTTTCGAAATTAAAGCAATGAATAATCTTTAAATAAAATATAACAGATTTTTAGCCAACTTAAACAAACCTTTTCGAAATTAAAAAAAGCAACAAAAATCTTTCAAGAAAACTCAATAGAATTCTAAGAAAATATATTTGTTCCAAATTAAATATTACGGTACATATGTCACAAATAGACATACACACCGGACTTTATGTGGTAACACAATAAACAGGTGTAAAGCTTACAGAATAAAGCGCAGGATCAGTCCTGATCACATGATAAACCATACTCATTTCCTAGCCCAGGTGGCTTTCATTTTGTTAAAGCTATAATAATAATCCCGATTTGTATTATATACCCAGTATGAAAAAGGGGGCACTTTGATGGAAAAGATAACTTTACCTTTAAACATGAAATAAAATTTGTTGCAACTTAAACAATATTATTTTACAAACAAATTAAGTACATATATGATAACAACAGGTTCTGTACATCTCCCAAACTAAACTATTACATCATAACAAAGTTTCCTGTTTTCAACTTCACTGAACATTACAATATAAACAAAACCACACCATCTACTACACGACAATACCGTTAACTGACTGGATATCAAATACAACTAAACCAGTTAAATAGTCTTGACATTCAATTTGCATTGTCAACACAAATCACATTGCAATATCAATACTAGTACTGTACATAATTTAAATACAAATAATTACAGTGCAACTACAATATTAACAGGTTAGAAGGAATGTTGTTACTTTGTGTTGTTATGTCACATCACTGAATTACAAATGGAGGACATCTAGCATTGGTAAACTATAGACATGATTTGATATAAAAATATGGAATGTTCTTTGAAGGGATGTTTAATGTTAAAGCACTAAAGATATCTGATATGTTAAGATTGACACATGATATGAGAAATCTGTTTCTTTTGTATACCAATACACAGTAGCATGATATGGGAACTTAGTGCTATTTCGGTAACAGAAACTATAGTAACATGATATTAAACTCTTGTTACTTCGGCATACATATAAACCAGTAACATGATAAAGGAACTCTTGTTACTTAAGAATACATAGAAACCAGTAACATGATATGGAATTCTTGTTACTTCGTCATACATAGAAACCAGTAACATGCTATGGAACTCTTGTTACTTAGGAATACATAGAAACCAGAAACATGATATAGGAACTCAGTGTTACTTCGGCATACATAGAAACCAGTAACATCATATGGAACTCAGTGTTACTTAGGAATACATAGAAACCAGTAATATGATATAGGAACTCAGTGTTACTTAGGAATACATATAAACCAGTAACATGATAAAGGAACTCTTGTTACTTAAGAATACATAGAAACCAGTAACATGATATTGAACTCTTGTTACTTTGGCATACATATAAACCAGTAACATGATATGGAACTCCTGTTACTTTGGCATACATAGAAACCAGTAACATGATATAGGAACTCTTGTTACTTCGTCATACATAGAAACCAGTAACATGCTATGGAACTCTTGTTACTTAGGAATACATAGAAACAAGTAACATGATATTGAACTCTTGTTACTTTGGCATACATATAAACCAGTAACATGATATGGAACTCTTGTTACTTTGGCATACATAGAAACCAGTAACATGATATAGGAACTCTTGTTACTTCGTCATACATAGAAACCAGTAACATGATATAGGAACTCAGTTTCACTTAGGAATACATAGAAACCAGTAACATGATATGGAATTCTTGTTACTTAGGAATACATAGAAACCAGTAACATGATATTGAACTCTTGTTACTTTGGCATACATATAAACCAGTAACATGATATGGAACTCTTGTTACTTTGGCATACATAGAAACCAGTAACATGATATAGGAACTCAGTGTCACTTAGGAATACATAGAAACCAGTAACATGATTTAACTCTGTAATTTTTGTGTAAAGGCAATACATGTAGTAACATGATATGGGAATTAAGTGTTGATCTGCAATGTATAGAAACAAGTAACATTTGATATGAGAACTCTGTGTTACTTAGGAATGCATAGAATTAAGTAGCATGATATAAATCTGTTCCTTTGGTGACGGCAATAGTAACATGATATGGAACTCAGTGTGACTTTGGAATGTATAGAAACCAGTAACATGAACAAACTTTGTTCCTATGGTGACAGCAATAGTAACATGATATAGTACTCAGTGTTACTTACGAATGTATACATTTATAGTTCAAAGAAATTGGAGCTTTAAGTAACACTAGTCAGATATGTAGTTTGTAAAACAGGAGGAAATCTGGCTGTACAATGAAATCATTTCAATACAGCAAAAAAATGTAAAACAAAAAATATGTAACATTTTCAGGTTGTGTTATAATGAATATTCAGAAAGAAACAAATTAATAGTTAATAAGTAAATTTTATAATTAGGAAACACCTCTTTTAGGCATTTGGAATGTATATGTTTGGAATGTTTCTTAAAAAAATATCAGGGAAAAACCTGATTATCATATCTATGGTTACCATAATGTACAATCTACTGCAGACATTTCTGTTGCAACATTAGGAACATATTTGTATAAATAATACAATATATCATCTTTCTCCAATCATATCACTCACAACTTAAAGTAGTATGGGATACAATGATCAAATCATTATATCACCTTTCAGGTAAAGGGAATCATCATATCAATCACATGTTACAACACATTTTACTGTAATCATGGTTGTTTGAAATTTTACAATAATTGAAAATTGATATAATAAAAACAAACAAAAAATACTATAGCTGGCAATGACTGCAAGACCTATACAATTCAAACACGACTCGTTACCAATATTGATATCCAGGAATTATAATGCACAGCATTCAAATGTGCTCCCAACTAAGAAGTCAAAAACAAAATCTTTTCTTCATTTCATCTTCTTCTTAAAAGGGAGAATACTCTCTTAAAGGAAAACCGGTCTGAGTGGAACTCTTCTTAATGATTTGACAGGTGCAGTGTTACCATCTACCTTAAGTATTATGGGATGTCATAATCAAATAATGATATCACCTTTACTTAATTTTGGGACCAAGGATATCAATGAACGTCATCCTCTCTTGGTTTTGGTTTGAATTTTATTACTATTTGGTTTTCAAAATGAATTCTTATGGGAGGAAACAAACTCATTACTCTAAACATAGCAACAAGCTTCAGAATACTGGTCCTCAGAGGACTCATTAATGATGGATTGTAGTTTTTCTCTAACAGTAGCACGTTTGTCAGCAAACAGCTGACATATTCCATAACAACTTTCTATGAAAAGGCAATTCATTCAAAATTTTAAAAACATATTCCCAAAAATATTTTGGCATTAGGAATCTTTGTAAGAAACCTGAGCTATGACAACTCAAAAGGACTCCATCAAGCTAGTAGTACTGTTTCCTCTTCTTACTGCCAGGGGCTTCTGAAAACAGAGACGAAAGGCTCATGTCACATGATTTATAATATTGGTTTCATCAAAATTATGAAGTTTGCTAGAGAAAACCAAAGGTTGCAGTACTGCTATCTTAATCACCATTCAAACTTTCATTTTTAAAAATCTTAAAAAAAAAGTTTGTTTTTATACTTAAAAGTCTGGTTTATGATATTATTTCTACCTTAAATGCAGCAGTGAGACTTTTGTCATAGACATAGTTAGCAATGAGCTGTCAACATGGTCATCTAGGTAGGTCAGGTAAGCAGCAAGCATTCACAACAATCTTACAATAATTACCTACCTAAGCTAGTCAGGTAAGCAGCTAGCATTCACAGCAGTCTTACAATAATTACCTACCCAATTAAGTCGGGGAAGCAGCTAGCATTCACAACAATCTTACAATAATTACCTACCCAATTAAGTCAGGTAAGCAGCAAGCATTCACAACAGTCATACAATAATTACCTACCCAATTAAGTCGGGTAAGCAGCTAGCATTCACAACAGTCATACAACAATTACCTACCCAAGTAAGTCAGGTAAGCAGCTAGCATTCACAACAGTCTTACAATAATTACCTACCCAATTAAGTCAGGTAAGCAGCTAGCATTCACAACAGTCTTACAATAATTACCTACCCAATTAAGTCAGGCAAGCAGCAAGCATTCACAACAGTCATACAATAATTACCTACCCAATTAAGTCAGGTAAGCAGCTAGCATTCACAACAGTCATACAATAATTACCTACCCAAGTAAGTCAGGTAAGCAGCCAGCATTCACAACAATCTTACAATAAATACCTACCCAAGTAAGTCAGGTAAGCAGCTAGCATTCACAACCGTCTTACAATAATTACCTACCCAATTAAGTCGGGTAAGCAGCTAGCATTCACAACCGTCTTACAATAATTACCTACCCAATTAAGTCAGGCAATCAGCAAGCATTCACAACAGTCATACAATAATTACCTACCCAAGTAAGTCAGGTAAGCAGCAAGCATTCACAACAGTCATACAATAATTACCTACACAAGTAAGTCAGGTCAGCAGCAAGCATTCACAACAGTCATACAATAATTACCTATGCCAGTAAATCAGACCAACAACAAGCTGTCAGCACAGTCAATTACCTACCCAAGTAAGTCAGTTGTTTATAGTTACAGTAACTTTGGCATTTGAATATTTAAAACAATCCTTAGCAAGCAAATTAGTAAGGAGCAATGTATGTGATTACAGTTTGATCTGGACTATTGTGCAGAATCCAATTTTTCTATTTGAATATGTTTAATACATAACACTGACCTTTGACTCAACCACTTTCAGTGAGAAATCACTATATTAAGTTTGGGTAAATTTGGACAACAGGAAATCAAGCTATTGACTGGAAACAGTGGTGGGAGGGACAAACAGACAAGGATACTTAAAATATCCCATCTGATCTCAGTTCTGGGTATAACTGCACATCCATGGATGTCAGTTAATTAGCAACAAGCTGTCAGCTAAATCATACAATTACCTACCCAAGGAAGTAAAGTAAGCAGTGGGATGTCAAAACATTCACATAATTTCCTTATCAAGAAAATCAGGTAAGCTAAGAAGCTGTCGGCACAATCGTGGTAAAAGGTGAAAATGAGAATATACTTATCCCCTTGACAGATTTTGAAGTGGAGGAATGCTTGAATGTTTGATACCAAGGTATATGTGTGGTGCAGAATAATACATCAATCTAGTTACAGTAACCTTAACCTTTGATCTTTTAACCTGAAAAGAGTATAAACTTTGAGCATCACAAGCTGACATAAAGTTGAGCTATTAATTGAAAACCAATTTTATATTAACAGTGACAGTGACTTTGACCTTTGTGACCGAAAAACATTTTCAAGAAAGCAGTTTTGAATAAGAAATGAATGCAGATTGTGTGAGTGTTTTAGGCCAAAATGGAGTTGAATTATTGTGCAGAACAGTGACCTCGACCTTTGATCACAATCACGTTCAGTTCTTCCCATAAAGAAGCAGTGTATGTGTTTTGAGTAGATAGGTCAACTGCAACTTAATTCTTGTGAAGAAATTAAGGTGGAGCAGACATTATCCTGAATATCATTGATGAATAAAATTCTTTGCTTTAAAAAAATAAAATTGCCACGATGAACTAGAATAATTGGAACATATATATTGAATCTCATTTTGTTAGACCTTTTCCCCTTAAATTGTAAGTCCTGGATGCTAGCACAAACAGACAGACAGACGTGAATCAGTACAGTATTCCCATATCCCCTCTTATCTACATCAGGAGGATAATTACCACCCAGGTAAGTCAGATCTGAAATAAGCACTCACCATTACCTACCTAAGGAAGACAGTTTACCCACAAACAGTCACAATCACACCATGACCTACCTAAGGAGGTCAGTTTACCCACAAACAGTCACAATCACATCATGACCTACCTAAGGAAGTCAGTTTACCCACAAACAGTCATTCAATCACACCATTACCTATCTAAAGAAGTCAGTTTACCCACAAACAGTCACAATCACCCCATGACCTTCCTAAGGAAGTCAGTTTACCCACAAACAGTCACAATCGCACCATGACCTACCTAAGGAAGTCAGTTTACCCACAAACAGTTACAATCACACCATGACCTACCTAAGGAAGTCAGTTTACCCACAAACAGTCACAATCACACCATTACCTACCTAAGGAAGTCAGTTTAACAACAAACAGTCACAATTACACCATGACCTACCTAAGGAAGTCAGTTTACCCACAAACAGTCATGCAATCACACCATTACCTACCTAAGGAAGTCAGTTTACCCACAAACAGTCATGCAATCACACCATTACCTACCTAAGAAAGTCAGTTTACCCACAAACAGTCAAAATCACACCATGCCCTACCTAAGGAAGTCAGTTTACCCACAAACAGTCATTCAATCACACCATTACCTATCTAAAGAAGTCAGTTTACCCACAAACAGTCACAATCACACCATGCCCTACCTAAGAAAGTCAGTTTACCCACAAACAGTCACAATCACACCATAACCTACCTAAGGAAGTCAGTTTACCCACAAACAGTCACAATCACACCATTACCTACCTAAGGAAGTCAGTTTAACAACAAACAGTCACAATCACACCATGACCTACCTAAGAAAGTCAGTTTACCCACAAACAGTCAAAATCACACCATGACCTACCTAAGGAAGTCAGTTTAACAACAAAAAGGCACAATCACACCATGACCTACCTAAGGAAGTCAGTTTACCCACAAGCAGTCACAATCACACCATTACCTACCTAAGAAAGTCGGTTTACCCACAAACAGTCACAATCACACTATTACCTACCTAAGGAAGTCAGTTTACCCACAAGCAGTCACAATCACACCATTACCTACCTAAGAAAGTCAGTTTCCCCACAAACAGTCACAATCACACCATGTCCGACCTAAGGAAGTCAGTTTACACACAAACAGTCACAATCACACCATTACCTACATAAGGAAGTCAGTTTACCCACAAACAGCCACAATCACACCATGACCTACCTAAGAAAGTCAGTTTACCCACAAACAGTCACAATCACCCCATGACCTACCTAAGGAAGTCAGTTTCCCCACAAACAGTCACAATCACACCATAACCTACCTAAGGAAGTCAGTTTACCCAAAGGAAGCCAGTTTACCCACAAACAGTCACTGAATCACACTATTACCTACCTAAGGAAGTCAGTTTACACACAAACAGTCACAATCACACCATTACCTACATAAGGAAGTCACTTTACCCACAAACAGTCACAATCACACTATTACCTACCTAAGGAAGTCAGTTTGCACACAAACAGTCACAATCACACGATTACCTACCTAAGGAAGTCAGTTTACACACAAACAGTCACAATCACACCATTACCTACCTAAGGAAGTCAGTTTACCCAAAGGAAGTCAGTTTACCCACAAACAGTCACTGAATCACACTATTACCTACCTAAGGAAGTCAGTTTACCCACAAACAGTCACAATCACACTATTACCTACCTAAGGAAGTCAGTTTAACAACAAACAGTCACAATCACACCATCATCTACCCAAGGAAGTCAATTTACCCACAAGCGATCATCAAATTATAAACTTTCACAACCAAGTTTGTCAGGTTAGCTAAGAAATTGTCAAAACAATCATACAGTATTAATACACCATTATATTCACTGGTACGTCTCTTTAATGAAAACCTATTGCAAAATGACTGTAACATTATGCACCAAGCTGTAATATATTGTTGACATTAGTTCCTTACAAGCGGAAGTGCCTGTGTAAATTTGACCTGTCTTTAAGATTTCTGTAGTAGAATCGTATTTATTTTTTTGGGATATGGTACACTTTTCTCTATTTCAGCAACATCTTAACATTCACTGCAAACATATGACTTACTCTACACCTGATAAAAATAGCTAAATGTTTAATAACTGACAGTTCAGAACACTATGGCATATCACATAAGACTTCATATGCAAACAGTGCAATAAGTCTTTTCTGTGATGTAAGCATTAACATAATTATAATTACATAGGATTTATATGCAAGTGCTAGGGTAGTATTTCAGATTAAATGTATACATACTTGCTAATATTTCAATTTTTTTAAGTAGGAAGAACCCATGTGTTAATATGTCAAAAAGTATTGACAGTTAGATCTATTAAAAACAAGAGGCCCATGGGCCTTAACAATCACCTGAGTCCTACAGTATTTATTTTTGTTGTTGAAATATGTACCAATTTGAGTAAAAAATTGTTAAGTATAACGTTAACTTAAGTTTGTCAGGATCATGAGCTGATCATTCCTAGACCGATTTTCAGTTAGATCGGCCTATTAGAACTTGTTTTTAAGTTTGAAATAGGTATTTTAAAAATAGCAGCCATGGCAGCCAAATTGTATTTCTGATCGACCCGAAAAATAACAAATGTTTGTCAGGACCATGAGTTGATCATTCCTTCAAAGTTTCAGTTTAATCGGCCAAGTAGAACTTGACTTTAAGTTTGAAATAGTTTTTCAAAATGGCAGCCGTGGTGGCCATATTGGATTTCTGATTGACCCGAAAATAACAAAACTTTGTCAGGACCATAAGTCGATCATTCCTACAAAGTTTCAGTTCAATCGGCCTAGCAGAACTTGATTTTATGTTTGAAATAGTTTTGTCAAAATGGCAGCCGTGGTGGCCATATTGGATTTCTGATTGACCCGAAAATAACATAACTTTGTCAGGACCATAAGTCGAACATTCCTACAAAGTTTCAGTTCAATCGGCCTTGCAGAACTTGTAAAATGGCGGCCATATTTGATTTCTGATCGACCCGAAAAATAACAACACTTTGTCAGGACCATGAGTCGATCATTCCTACCAAGTTTCAGTTCAATCAGCCAAGCAGAACTTGACTTTAAGTTACAAACCGTGGTGGCCATATTGGATTTCTGATCGACCCGAAATATAACAACACTTGGTCAGGGAGATGTCAGTAACCTTCCCATGAAATATTAATGAAATCCCTACCAGTATTTCAGCTTAAGTTGAAAATGTAAAATGTTAACGGACGACGCACAACGGACGATGGTCGAAGATGGATAGCAATAGGTCACTTGAGCTAAAGCTCAGGTGACCTTAAAACTAATGATTGCCTTATTTAAAGCAATATAATGCATTTATTAAATATGAGTAAAGCGAAAGATGTAGGAAATATTTCCCTGAAGTTAAAATTAGTAGTCTTGGCAATGTATATGTATATGTAGATGTTTTTTCTTGGATACATTGTATATTATGTAGCTAGTGCAAAACTCACCTTTAACACATCCTACATGTCTACTACAATACCAAAGCATCTCCAGATATGTAACATCAATATATCTATATATAGATCTACAGGTAATCACGACAGTTTGTCTGATGCCTATTACTTAATATATAAACAAATAAGTAATAGGCATCAGACCAAACAATACAATCTATAAACTTTTCAAGGAAACCTGCCCCTTTGTTAAGATAAAAGTATACACAGTTACATGACACAACAAGAGGCCCAGAGGGCCTTTATCATTCATGTATTTAAGCAATCATTATTTGAGGTCCTAAGGGTGCTTTATTACAAATCTAGTTGGGATCTGCATACATGTGTACATATTATAGAGTGTGGATTTTGAATGTTTTTATGTGATGACCCTGAGACCAAGTCCCAGGGCAGGACCAGATCCTGGGGCTTATCCAGGTAGAATACCCGACTTGTGGTTTTTGTTTGGTATGGTTTTTTCATTCCCATCAAGCACAAATGTGGCTATATGATGAGGATTTCAACTGTTTCAAAGTTGATGGCAGGATCTGCAAGGAATTCTGCTGGCATGAGTGTGTTCATCTCTTCATATCCAGCAATTGTATGGGTAGTTATGGGTAGCTAATCTCAACTGTTTCCATGTTATGACCTAGGTCCTAAGGTCCTAAGGTAGGGCTTTAACATTGTGTTGCCTCTTCCTTGGGCAGAGCTGCAGCCTGTGGTCAATCCTGCATGACTTAATTCATCTCTTCATGCTCAATAAGCAAATATCTGGTTATAAGGTAGGAATTTAAACTATTTCCAAGTTATGAACCCTGTGACCTTCAAGAAAGGTAATTTAAATGAATAAAATTTATAGCATTCCATTTTAGGAACCTACTGTCTAAATATCACATTTTTGTGTCTTATGGAACTTGAGAAGACATATTAAACTGTTTACCCATCACTGAGCCCATTTTGCCCTTTGACCCAGCCAGTACCTGAAGTTGATGTTAGATCTCATTTATTAGGAAAAATGTGCTACAGGTGTTCATAAAATTCACAGATAACATGACTCTAGGCCTTACAGTTCTGTAGACGATGTTGCTAAGTTTGTTTTACAGTTTGACCACTATGACCTTGAAAGTAAGACAAGGTCATTATTATAAGGAAAAACAATTGCACTCCATACCAGAAATCTACTGGTCAAATATCAGGACTGTGGGTGTTTCTGTTTTCAAAAGTATAATGGACTGATGCTGTAAAATATCATATGTTCACAGGCACTTTATGCCGGGGAGATAAAAATACAAGACAAAGAACAGTAAGTATTGTTCTTGGTCTCATATTTTGTTTAGTGTTATATGTGTTTTACACCTTTTTTTCTTGACAAAGGAGCAGGCGGCCTCAAATTATGTTGTCCACAATCTGGCACATCTATACACACACAAACACAGATATATATATATATATATTTGAAAAACAAGACAACAGAGAGATACTAAATTCTGGCTTCTACTGATACGACTAGCACAAGCATCAGTGTACATCAAGCTTATTTTTTTCTGAAATTTTTGGTAAAATGTGTTTGTTGTTCTACTACACAGGTGTAATGATCTACTACACAGGTGTAAAGATCTACTACACTGGTGTAAATATCTACTACACTGGTGTAAATATCTACTACACAGGTGTAAAGATCTACTACACTGGTGTAAAGATCTACTACACTGGTGTAAAGATCTATTACTCTGGTGTAAATATCTACTTCACAGGTGTAAAGATCTACTACACTGGTGTAAAGATCTATTACACTGGTGTAAATATCTACTACACCGGTGTAAAGATCTACTACACAGGTGTAAATATCTACTACACCGGTGTAAAGATCTACTACACTGGTGTAAATATCTACTACACAGGTGTAAAGATCTACTACACTGGTGTAAAGATCTACTTAAGTGTCTCTTTAATCTCTTTTAAATTGTGACTTGTCTAAACTTAAGAGAAAGATATATTCCAAAGGTTAAAATAAACCAGAAGTTTGTAAATGTGTGTAGTGTAAGTCACTCTTATTTTGTAAGACTTATATTTTCACTTTAATATGTGAAAGTAATTGATTTTATGAATTTGAATATCGCCCAAATGATTCCAAAGCAACATGCACATGATTTGTACATTTTCAAATTCAAATCTTCATGCATATATATTTTTTAAATCACATTTGCAAAAATATGTCTTTCTCAAAATATAGTGACTTACAGCTGATCAGCCTGATATTGGTTATAATTCACCGAGAACTCTCCAATCTTCTCCCAGGTTTGTTATGTTTTTCACAAGATGCATGAAGATCTTTAAGTCACAAAAAATACTAAGTTATTTTTTTAAACAATGTAACCACTGCTTTCTAGACTTTGTTTTTGAATTTCTTTCTAATTTTCACACTTTCTACTTGACGTGTACCAGATTTCCACCGTGGGAGGAGACCGAATTAGACCCAGTATGAGCCAGCACCATGTTAGCATTCTACTTACTGTGTGGCGTTAGTAAAACTTTTGCTGCTGTGGCAGCACCGGATAGCCACCATGCATGGGGTGTTGTGGGTATTGGCCACTTTCGTGGTATGCGGGGGGGCGGTCAGAACCGTGGTAGTTGTTACCACCCTCACCATTACGTAAGTATGGATCCTGCTGCTGACCATTGTCGTAGGCCGCGTTTGGCACGCCCCTGCCTCGCCCACCTTTTTGATAACCTGCCTCCGTGCTGACAAGACAAATGGACAAGTGAGGACAATGTAAGACCAAGACCCGACAGTCAATATGTGCCTACATCCAGTATATATGACACCCAGACAAACCTCATCATGCTAACATCATTTTCACCTTAACAAACATTTTATTGGTTGCTATGAACAATCAAACATGAGCCTGTGCATATATCCCATCTTTATACAAAACATTACACCGACTATCAAGGACCATAATATTGATCAGTTCTGTGTGCCTTATCATTTTATATTTATGATATTTAAAAGACTGAATTTTGGTTCACAGTGAAGATCCTGTGAACACATTAATCCCTAAAACTGACATATTTAAGTACTCTCTAATACTTTCTGTCACAACAAGTGCCTAGTATGACGTTATTGTCAGTAGTAAATTAAAGAACACCAAATTAGGATACTGATCTACAAGGCGTTAGTACTATTACAAGTTAAATTGTAGTATCAATAAATAAAATACCACCACAACATTCGTCATTATCAAAACCTCAGAACATTTAATTTTTTAATTTTATGGATATATCATAGATTGGTACAAAAATTTATAAATATTGTACACTGTGGATAAAATTTACTGACACCTTTGTTTTACTGTCGTCTCCATTAAGAAAAATAAATTTGAAAACAATCTGTTCACTTTTTTTACTATAAAATCGTTGAACCATTAAGTTCAGGCCAATAAATACAATTAAAAGAAATTTGATGGCTTTGGATTAATATGGACTGTACATGTGAAAGTATCTCTTGCCGAAACTCATTAAAAAAGGTATGTAAAATTGATTTATTTAATTTTTCTTGCTCTCAGGATTTGGAATCCCTTCTTTGCATAAACTGCAGTGGAAGAACCCTTTCAATTATGTGAAACTTACATCCTAAGAGTTAAATTTACTTAAGTATTAAAGGTAGTGGTTTATTGCAATTTATAGAGGAAACTATTTCAGACTATATGATAAAACATTTCTATGATCTGTAATATTTATATTGAAATTCATCTGTGATCACAACAGAGGAAGCTAATTACAAAATCGTACATGTCTTATGTATTGCAAACTGTCTGTCTTCAAAGTAAAATCCTGATTTCAGTGCAGGATCTAATATTGATAAAACTTCATATTTGAAAAAAAATCTTTGCAATAGTATTTATTGACATCAAATACTGCACAAACTGCATTGAAGTATGATGACAAAATGGATTAATAGCTGACAAAGAACTTAAATTATAAAATGTTTTTTTTTTAATTGACATGCATGTCATTGTTTTGATGACACTGGTAAGACCTTAGGTGTCATTTAACTCCTACTGTAAAATGGTGTAGGATCAAGCAGACATTATTTACTTTATCTGATGATTTTTCATCTCTATTCAATGGTAATGTTAGTAATTTAAAGGTGTGCATGTCTGACAAGGGAAATAACTCTCCAAGTCTAACAGTTAATTGAATTGAATACTATCACTCTTGTGAGTTATACAAACAGCGTATTGTTAACTGCACTTAGCAACTGATAGGTGGAGTAACTGCTAAACTTGATAACTGGAAATTGGTAGCTGAATATAGCAATTGATAACTGAACCTCACAACTAGCCGAACTTAGCAACTGATAGCTGAGGTAACTACTGAATTTGGTTAACCAAGAATTTATAGCTGAAATTAGACACTACAATTCATAGCTAGACACTCCTACTGAACTAATAACCAGATAAGTTATTTTAAAAAGTACAAAGTCATAGCTAAACTAAGCAAAATTCATAGCTGGATTTAGCAAAGTTCATAGCTGGATTTAGCAAAGTTCATAGCTGTATTTGGCAAAGTTCATAGCTGAACATAGCAACTAGAAATATAGTTGAAAGAAGAAAAACTCACTACTAAATTTAGCAACACAGCTGCATGATCAACTTGGTAACTATCAATTCATAGTTAAAGCTAGCAACTGAGATCTGAATTTAGCAACAAGCAAATTATAGCTGAACATAGCAACTAGAAATATGGTTCAACTTAGAAACCAGAAAATGTCACTACTGAACCTAGCAATACAGCAACTTAGTAACTAGCAGGTCATTGCTAAACTTAGTAACTAGCAGTTCATCGCTAAACTTAGTAACTAGCAGTTCATCGCTAAACTTAGTAACTAGCAGTTCATCGCTAAACTTAGCAATTCATGGTAAAAGTTAGCAACTCAGAGCTGAATAAAGCAACTAGCAATTTACAGCTGAACGTAAAAACTCACAATTTATTGCTGCGGGACTTAGCACTCTAAAAACTACAACTAGTATTAACTACTTATACTTAAGAGTGTAACTAATGCAAAAGACGTATACTGGGTTAGAAAATCACATCAAATATGGTAGAAACAATTCACACAGAAAAAAAGTTCATCTAATTAGTGTTGTTTTTTTTAAATATTTTATTATATTTGGTTAATAAAGTAAAATAAATTTAATTAGTCTGTGAATTATTTTAGTTAAATGTTTATGGTTGCTAGAAACTTGCAATGCAGCAAATCTTTACATACCTTGTTAACGGTACATTATCCTGGTGGCCGTACGCATTGTAGCCGGCCTGACCTTGGTACATCTCCATGTCCCTGTCAAAAGTCAGCAAATAATGATGATTTCCTAATATTATATGTACCTGACAATAACAGTCAGGTAGGTATAGGGGCTAGGTATAGTAGTTAATATCAAGATTTGGTGTCGGAGTTAGATGTTGGTGTTCAGTAATCGGATCATTTCATTTCAAAGTCATATTCTGAAAATTTCAAAGATACCATTTTGCATGCTTTCTATTACATTAATATCTCAAACAAGAGGTAAGGGGTCTTGTATAGCTCACTTGGTCTTTGCCTCTATTTATATGACATCCTTCACATACAACATAAATGAAACACCTGAAACCGGAGTTAGAATTGATGTAAAGGTCACGGTAATACACTTACGGACTGTCCAGTTCCTGTGTATGCCTGGCTTTCCTCCTACTGTTGTCTAAAAACTTGTCATAAGCCTTCTCTCGCTGGTAGAGACTGGCTAGACACAGGGCAAAAACAATACAGAAGATGAATGCTGACAGGCCCCAGCCTAGACCAAACCAGAAACCATTCTGAAAAAGACAAGTCCATTAACATCAGTATCAAACAGGCTCTTGTCAATTTTAACAGATACCAATTTAAATTTGAAATTATTATGGTGGTATAAATAGCTGTGTTGACATTTGACTGAAAACTTCACTTCTGAAAGGGTTACAAATACTCATACACATAATAGTATAAATATCCAGTGTAGGAAAGAATAAAAATGTTATAATTGATAACTAACGTCACGCAACCACAATTGGTACAATTTTGACAGTTTTTCAGTGATATTTAAAAATTCAGATCTTGTATCAGGATTGTTTCTTGATTCTTGACAAAGACTACCTACAGTGGTTCATTTTCAGGAAAAGTTTTGATTCTAAGTGATTTGTTTCTGAAAATGGAACGCTAAACTCGCAGTGAAGTTTCATCCGTTTTTTGGCTATGATTATAGCACCCAGATTGGCACACCATATCAGAGGTTATGAAACTTCGTTGTTTTTTTACTAGTTGATGTGCCAATTGCAACAAAATATATTACTTTTATAAATACCATATACTTTACTACAAATGTATGTTACCATTTTCATATTATCCAGTTATAAATATACAGAAATCAGCATTTAAACATGCTTATAATTAACCCCTTCAAAATCCTTCAAAATCCTCCAAAATATATGATCAACATACATCATTTTCACTGGTTTTCTGATATGTTTACTTTGAAGTCATCGTGTACTCTTAAAATGTTCCTGAAAACAAAACTATTTGGTGGAAATGCTGATCAATATCTCTTTTGTTATACTGTCAGAGGAAAATGCTCAAATTTAATCTTAAAATACTATTCGAACCATTTTCTGACCGTGTACCAATTTAGGTAGTGTACCAATTGTGGTAACATGACGTTATCCAGTAGTGACCAGTACAATAAACATAATTTTCCTATACTGATCAATCAAAACAGGTAATAGGTAAATGTGTCTTTTCTCTTATTTGTTGGTTTGTGTTAGATCAACTATAAATGCATCTTGGGTAACTGATGATCAAACCTCACACTGCTCTGTCCTTGTGAAGAGCATTTGTTGTTTGACTTATTTATAAGCATAAGGTAGTTAAATATAGACCAAGAGAGATTCCAGATTTCTGGCAGACATATTTTCCCTCAGATCTATATTTTCATTTGTTGTTGCAACACCTTTCTATATTCTTTTTATAATGTGATTTATTTATGAAAACGTAACTACAACACTATTTACAGTGTATGAATACATAGCCGGAGCACTCCACTGCTACAATTGTGTGACTACGCACTTGGAAAACAGGTCTTTAAAAACAATTATCTAAAATGTTCCCTAGCACATATTTCTTCAAAATATTTCAAATTTTATTCCATTTCTTTTACGTCTAAAACAAATGAATGAAATATTATAGCTATGTTTTATTGTTCAATTCTGTTCAAGAAACAGCTTGTGACATCATCCGTTCCTCTGTTGCTGTTCTAATAAATGATCTGCCCCAGTTGATAACAGTTGTCTCACCTCTTTGTTTTATACTTATGTAACTATTAGCTTTCTCCACTCTATATATAATACCGGCATAACTAAACATTACAGTTGTCCTCCCTCTGTATACAACACCTGTGTAACTATACATAACAGTTGTCTCCCTTCTGTATATAACCCCTGTGTAACTATACATTACAGTTCTCGTCCCTCTGTATAAAACACCTGTGTAACTATACATAACAGTTGTCCTCCCTCTGTATATACCACCTGTGTAACTATACATAACAGTTGTCTCCCCACTATTTATAACACCTGTGTAACTATACATAACAGTTGTCTCCCCTCTATTTAAAACACCTGTGTAACTATACATTACAGTTGTCGTCCCTCTGTATAAAACACCTGTGTAACTATACATAACAGTTGTCTCCCCTCTATTTATAACACCTGTGTAACTATACATTACAGTTGTCCTCCCTCTGTATATAACACCTGTGCAATTATACATAACAGTTGTCTCCCCTCTATTTATAACACCTGTGTAACTATACATTACAGTTGTCCTCCCTCTGTATATAACACCTGTGTAACTATACATAACAGTTGTCTCCCTTCTGTATATAACACCTGTGTAACTATACATAACAGCTGTATCCCTTCTGTATATAACACCTGTGTAACTATACATAACAGTTGTCTCCCCTCTGTATATAACACCTGTGTAACTATACATAACAGTTGTCCTTCCTCTGTATATAACACCTGTGTAACTATACATAACAGTTGTCTCTCTTCTATATATAACACCTGTGTAACTATACATAACAGTTGTCTCCCTTCTGTATATATAATTGGAGGTTCTTATATACCGCTTTATCACAACCTAGTTCGTAGGTCGTCTCAAAGCAGTTCACAAATTATTATCCGTGTTTATAGGGCCTTTGCAACTAGCCTGTACATTTCTCAACTCCCTGGGGAGCATACAGCCGGAGCTGCCATTTTGGCGCTTACAGCTAGCATTCAACAATTCTAGCACTGCCCATCCACGTACTCATTTACAGCTGAGTAGACTGGAATAAGTGGAGTAAAGTATCTTGCTCAAGGATACAACACATTGCCGTGCCCTGGCGCGAACCCGCAACCCTTTGGTCACAAGCCCAGCGTCCTACCACTGGACTACCGTGCCTCTGTAACACCTGGGTAACCAATATAACATATGTCTTCTCACCTCTTTATCTCATACTTGTGTAACTATCATTTTTCTCCTCGCTGTATATTTTACCTACGTAACTATACATAACAGTTGTCTCCCCTTGGTACATAACACCTTGGTACTTATACATAACAGTTGTCACTTCTCTGTACATAACACCTGGGAAACCAACATAACAGTTTTCTCCCCTCTGTATATAACACAAGGGTAACTATACATAACATTTGTCTCCCCTCCCTATATAATCCAAATCTGCAGTACCAGTATTGAACTATACAACATAGTGAAGCATCTGCTGAAAATAGACCGACTAACTTGATCCAAGGCACTGGTTTAAACCAATTGTAATAAACTCACGAATGGGTCTAGAGTGACGAGACAGAAGGCATCAGAAGCCTGCTGGGTGGCAGCATACAGAGGCTGGCACTTGCCGATGTCAGTTTCTATCTGTGGAGAGTAAAGTAAGGAATACTTGTGGTTAAAACAATACCCTATATGTCAAGAATAAACTTGAAAATTGCACAAATATATCATACCAACTTGATTACTACATCTATCTCACCTGAACTAAGTATTTATATATGTCTCACTCTGTACTTAGTGTTTATATATCTGTCTCTATACTTAGGGTTTATATATATGTCTCACTCTATACTTAGTGTATATATATATCTGTCTCTATACTTAGGGTTTATATATATGTCTCACTCTATACTTAGTGTATATATATATCTGTCTCTATACTTAGGGTTTATATATCTGTCTCTATACTTAGGGTTTATATATATGTCTCACTCTATACTTAGTGTATATATATATCTGTCTCTATACTTAGGGTTTATATATCTGTCTCTATACTTAGGGTTTATATATCTGTCTCTATACTTAGGGTTTATATATCTGTCTCACTCTGTTCTTAGTTTTTATATATCTGTCTCACTCTGTACTTGGTGTTTATATATCTGTCTCACTCCGTACTTAGTGTTTATATATCTTTCTCACTCTGTACTTAGTGTTTATATATATATATGTCTCACTCTGTACTTGGTGTTTATATATGTGTCTCACTCTGTACTTAGTGTTTATATATCGGTCTCACTCTGTCCTTAGTGTTTATATATATATGTCTCACTCTGTACTTGGTGTTTATATATGTGTCTCACTCTGTACTTAGTGTTTATATATCTGTCTCACTCTGTACTTAGTGTTTATATATGTGTCTCACTCTGTACTTAGTGTTTATATATCTGTCTCACTCCGTACTTAGTGTTTATATATCTGTCTCACTCTGAACTTAGTGTTTATATATCTGTCTCACTCTGTACTTAGGGTTTATATATCTGTCTCTATACTTAGTGTTTATATATCTGTCTCTATACTTAGTGTTTATATATCTGTCTCTATACTTAGGGTTTATATATCTGTCTCTATACTTAGGGTTTATATATCTGTCTCTATACTTAGTGTTTATATATCTGTCTCACTCTGTAATTAGTGTTTATATATCTGTCTCACTCTGTACCTACCTTAGTTTTTACTCCATCTATCTCAGTCTGCACAAATGTGGAAATATTCCTGGTCACCAGCTTCAACATCTGCAAATCAAATATACTTTTTATAGACCAACAATACAGTAGTTTAAATAAACATAACACATACCCTTTTAGAATGACATTGTGATCATATTCATTAAATATATATTATTAACATAAACTGGAAAATGTTTGTAAAATACAGATACACCCCACTCCTGCTTTCATGCAAATGTAGCTTAAAACAAAGTCTAACCAAAGTCAATTAAATGGAGAATATAGGTCGAAGGTATATAAACATGTCATATCATGGTGCAGTACTCCTCAGGAGGTATCTGCATACTAAGTTCAGTGACTATAATCCTTTCAATATCAGAGAAAGTGTAACCAAGCAAATGGAGCTAAATGAATAGTGTGACCAAAGTCAGTGAAGTGGAAAATATAGGTCATGGTGATCCACATGTCACATGAAAGTGTAGTACCGTGTATTCCTAAAGATGTGTCTGCACACAGTTTGATGATTATGAGACTTTTAGTATCAGAAAATTGGAGTTAACTCATTCACCCCTAAAGACACATTTGAGCTCTACCCATTCAAAGGTTGGAATTGTTCATTATGAAATTTCAGGGGTGAATGAGTTAAAGGCAAAGACTAACCAAAGAGAGTGAAATGGACAGTACAGTATATAGTCACAGTGACCTGCTGCATTTCATACAAAGGTAGCAAACTGCATAGTCAGGTCCTCAAGATGTATCTGTATATGAACTTTGATTGCTAGGGGATTCCTAGTATCAGAAAAATGGAGTTTAACACAGAGTCTTACACAACAGGATCTAACACACAATAGGATGAACAGAGAGGGCTATGGACAGGCAGACAGGAGAGGCAAACATTCAATGCCCCACGGATATCACACGTAGGGGACATAAAAAGCCACATAGATCACACTGGATTTCAGATGATTTGTAATAAACTGTTACACCTAGCTATAATACGTAATTTGACAAACACCATAGATAGGAACAAAATCAGACCTCAGGACAAAAGTTAAACCCCTTAAGGTCTCAGCCAATTAAAAACCATGGTTGATTTCGCGTAATTATTACTTCTGAATAATATTTCTTGTTATATCCACCATAAAGACTATTTATTAACTACCATTTACCACCATGTGTGAACCAAATCATATTAACAGAACAAAAGTTACTGCTGTAATGTTAATGTAACTGACAGTGGTTAACTTGGATTTCAGGTCAGAAAGCTTAAGGGCCATACAATGGATTTTTTACAGCACATACATGTTCTATTTTTGGCAAGTGGATAATATTATTTACCATAATAACAATGTAAAAATACAATAATTATGCCCTTTTGAGAGTTTCCCCAATATAAACAAGAGGCCAAGAGGGCCTGTATCGCTCACCTGGATAATAAAGCATCCATGGAAAATTATTCTTATCACATATAATAACTATTTCCAAGTATTGACTCTTTCTCTCAGCAACACCTGTCCTTCATTAGGTCACTTCTTTTTTAAACATTAACCTCATTTTCCCCCATTGGGCCCGCCCCTCTGCCCCTTAAAAGTAAAAGAGTCTCCTTTGCCCAAGGATGCTCTGCACAAAATTTGTTTAAAATCCCTCAAATCTTACTAAAGGAGAATGATTTTAATCATTTATTACTACATCCCCCTTATAGGACCTCCTCCCTCTGTCCCCAGGGGGGGCCACACCCTCTGTTATTATACAATTATGGAACTTTTGTGTCAACAGCATCTTTATCCTCGAGTAGTATTTCGAAATTTTTAAATGTGACAGAGACAAAGCGTTTGCCATCAGCCATCTTCTGATGTCGTTTGACAGGTCGTGTTCTGGTCTAACTGCGCATGCGCTACAACAGTTTGCTGGAATTTCCGTTCAGGCTATATTTAGAAATCTATATTCACCGGATAATCAGTCTACATGAGTTTGTGATGACTGGTCATATAATAAACAAAATTGACTCCCCTTTGCCAAAGGATGCTTCTGGCCAAATTCGGTTAAAATCCCTCCAATGGTACAAAAAGAATTTTAAAGATTTACTTCCAATTCACCTATTGGGCCTCGCCCCTCTGCACCCAGAAAGGGTACAGAGTTATCGTTTAAACAAAATTTAGTTCCCATTGCCAAAGGATACTCAAAGCCAAATTTGGTAAAAGTCCCTCCAATGGTGCAGAAGGAGAAGGATTTTAAAGATTTAAACCTCAAATTCCCCTTTTGAAGCCCCGCCCCCTCTGCACCCAGAGGGGTCACACCTTCCATTTATACAAAATTTAGTGCCCTTTGCCCAAGGATGCTCTAGGCCAATTTTAGTCAAAATTCATAAAGCTGTTCAGGACTAGTAGCATTTTAAAGGAAAAGTTGATGGACAGAAGACAGACGGATGACAGATGCTGCGGTACGGCATAAGCTCACCATGAGCTCAATGTGGGTAGTAAGTATTACACAAAGTTTGATAATTACCTCGTTAACAATCCGGGTACTGCCATTATTAAAATTATCTTGGGCTGCTGTAAGTCCGTCAATCAGGTTTTTTGTCCTATTCTGGTAAACAAAAATAAATATCAAATTAATATTTTGACAATAATAAAACATGAATAAAATATGTCAACATCCTTATTATCCCCTCAAATGGAAATTAACGTCTAAATCTTGAGAAACAAAGCCATGACGATATTGATGTGTGAAATAACGGGAGGTATTCCACCTGAAAAAGATGTTTATTTCGTGGTTGTGATTATAAATGGCACTGTACTTTTATGTCTGCATCATGCGTTGAGCATTTGGTAAATGATTATCTGTATGTCTATTAACAATTGAGACTACAGATAAATCTTTAACCTTTATAACTGTGTAAAATGTGTGACTACAGGTAGGCAACTCACCTTTATAACTGTTTAAAGTGTGTGACAACAGGTAGGCAACTCACCTTTATAAATGTGTAAAGTGTGTGACTACAGGTAGGCAACTCACTTTTATAACTGTGTAAAGTGTGTGACTACAGGCAGGCAACTCACCTTTATAACTGTGTAAAGTGTGTGACTACAGGTAGGCAACTCACCTTTATAACTGTGTAAAGTGTGTGACTACAGGTAGGCAACTCACCTTTATAACTGT